ATAGATATAATAGAGTTAAGTTGGATTTCGTTTCGTTGATTCAGAGAAGTTTGATTAAAATTTCGGCAGAGACATTCATTGATTGCAGTGGTTTGGTGATTTGGTAACAACAGCGTTCTTCGATGAAATGTTCCTGAATGAGGCAATGGCCCAGTACTGGGAGACGAACGGTATTATGTACGCATTCCCGGAACAAGCTAAAATGGGCGTATGTTAATTCAGCTATTCATGTTCAGTTGGTGCTTTGAGCATTGTTTTATCTTGCAATTTATTTGCATACTAAATTATGCTTGGGCATTTATGCATCGAGATAATTTCGAACAGGCGATTTTTTGTAGAAAATGGGCAAATTTTAGTGATAGTTGTTGAATCGTTTCCGAATAATTTAACCGATCTGAAAGTATGATACATGAAAAACAATATGGCAACACATTGTTAGATTTTCTCGATACCGATTTGATTGTGTTGATAATTCAGAAGTTTGAACGTTTCCGCAAGGGAATGGATGGCTTTGCTGTGGATTCATCTCCAGACACTTCAAAACCTGTTATTCCTAAGAAACCCAAATATTCAACTGGAATTATCTATGATAAGGTGATTTCAAACGCTTTCTGGAACTTTTCTGTTAGCAATTTTCATTAGAGTTTCTATCCGTTCTGTACTGAATGATGTGTGTCGGTTGCATTTTCTATTGAACATTTTGCACTGTTTGATTTTGGTAAGAGGATTCAAAAAAATGTTTGTCATGTTACAGAAGTATTTATGACCATCCGAATAAAGCATAACTACTTTAAAAGTCGGAATCATGTTCAGATGAATTGTAGCATTATTATGATTAGTTCGATGCAATTTGTTGTAATCCAGTTGCAGTTCTGTCCTCAGTAATTTATTCCAGCTGTAGATAATCCGTCGTTGTCTTGCATAATAATCATTGCGTGTCGCGTTGCAGGGTGCTACACTACTTCATATGCTCAGCAATACAGTGTCACCTGAAGTTCTACAACTTGGCTTGCAAAAGTACTTGAAAAAGTACAAATATTCCAATGTTGTTGATAGCGATCTGTGGGGCGAAATAACACAAGTTGGTTGTTTTCTGTTAATTCTTTCCTCTTCTTTTCAGTTTCTCTCTAGTTTTGTGAATTTTTCTTTGGATTCCATTATAGCGTTGAGGGAACATTGTATCTTTGAATTGGATATGTGACAGTGAATGCGTGCGATTATTATGCAAATGACTTCAATTTTCGCAATTGAAACTTGCGGTACGGTCTGACAAATTTGATAATTTCAACTGAGGGACGCTGCAAATGCCAGTCGCTGGATGAGAAGATTTTGTGTGGATCGAAATTTTGCCACCATGAGCCTAGGAAGCAGAAACAATTTTTCATAGCAAAATTAAATTGATACTTTGGTTGCAATGAATACTCACGTTGGTAAAAAGCTTTGGCTAATCCAAATTTATGCACATTTGAACGCTCGACAACTGAGATTGATTGTCTATCAGTGTAAGAAATAAAATGTTGTCTTTCGTAATGTTCATGATAATGGTGAATAGCCAAAGTTAACTATGGACAAGCTAAAGGAGAATATTAATTCATTCAATAAACTAATAATCTGCAATTTTGCATCTGTCAAACGTGTTCCAGGCTGCAGCAACGAAGAATAAGAAAGACTGGGATGGGAAACCGCTTAACGTACAGTTATTAATGGATCCATGGACAAAACAGGTGAACCACTTAGTTCCATTCGCTTGTGCCCGTGGCATAGATGTATGAATATTTTTTCTATATGAAGATTTACGATTCTATATGAAGACTTACGAACAAACAATTATTTTCGTTGGATTTGTAACCAAGAAACATTCCAAGAATAATTTCTTTCAGGCCACATATCCCGTTCTGAAGGTAAGTTATGATGACGCATCCAAACAGGTCACCTACTCACAGGAACCATTCATTGTCGATGCTGTGTCAAAGCTGGGCCCAAGTCCTTACGACTATAAATGGATTATTCCAGTGTTCTCTCAAACTGCGGAAGGTAAGCGTCATTTGGCGACTGGATTGGTAAATTTGCAACAATGTCAACATTGTGGAATTCAATTATCATTGGTATATGTCATGTTTCTTTGCTCGTTGGTGAGCTGCGTGCTCAGGTTGAGAAATTGATACGATTATTTTGATGAATGGTGAATGCGAACGTTTTGTGCATTTATTTGGATGATTGTTGAAAATAAGTAGCAACCAGTTCAGTCATTTGATCGGACGAATGATATTTGAGGAAGCACCTTTAATTACTTCACTGGTGCTGATGGCGGCAATCCGAGTGTTTGGAAACGTCCTCTGAATGGCTGGCAAGTGGAGAATGCTGGTTTCGCGGTAGGTTATTTAGTGAAAATTTGATTGTTCTTCTCCGCCTTTGATTGAAGTTGATCCATTCAAATCTGTGTGGATCGGCGAGAAACAATGAAAGTTTGAGAGCATGATGCGCACCTTGTGAGACAACCCAGAAGAGCTCTTCGGAAATCGTTTTGCTATGCGATTTCAGGGATTCTTCCGTGTTTGGTACGATGACGCAACATGGCAACCGATACTGAACCAACTGCAAAGCGATCGAGAAGTATTTGATGAGCTTACCAGAGCGGAATTCATCGCTGATGCAGTCGCCCTAAGAGAGTGCGTTGATTTCGTTNGAAAAGTTGATTATGTTCTATAGTATACTCTATTTTATTGTTTCCCATAGTGTTTTTTCTAGTGGATTACTTTCTTTTCTGCAGTATTATTCTCTGTAATCCAGTCAATTATGAAACGGAGCAATTTGTGTAGTGTTATGACTGACTATGAGCAGTTGATTTAAGAAGGTGTTTAATGAGCACTTTGCTAATGATGAATTGATTGCGGTGTTTTAAGACGAGGTTCACTCGAGTGGAAACGTGTACTGGACCTGGCGCTTCAGCTGGAAGGCGAAACTGAGCTAGCACCATGGTATGCTTTCTCGAAGACATTCGACGAACTCAATAGTATTTCCCAGTCGAACGGCTTCAGCGATGGGGAACGCGAGAAATTCCAGGTCTTCTTCGCTCTTTTCCTCATTTTATTTTTCTACAAACTACCAAACGATCGTCATACAGGACGAATAAAAAACCCGGAATTATTTCAGTTGTTCGCACGGAAGATTCTCAAGAATATCTACGAGAAGATCGCATGGAAAAATACAACCGACTGGAGCCAAGAGTATGGATTAATTTGAAATTGTTTCGCTGAACCAAAAAAAAATTCTCAAGAATATCATTGAAGCTGATTTCATTTGCAATATGGACTGAAAACAGAAATGAATTCTCAAAATTTACAAAAGTCATTCGAATTTGAGGGCTACTCGCTTTTCATTCGACTTTGTTCAATTGAGTAAATAATCAGATGAATTTGATATCGATCTGATTTACTAAAAGATTGACATGAAATGAAAGAAGTGGATCTGCTATGGAAATAACCATTTTAGCATGCTTGCATCTTATATAACTGAATGGGCATGTGATGCGAACTTACCACAATGTCTCAACGACGCAGCAGAGAAGCTGAATACATTCGCAAGGGATTGTGAACATTCCAAGTCTGGTACAGGTATCTGCAATAGGTACGTGATACCAGCTTATTATTATTATCATGCTCTTGTGCTATCAAGCTTGGGCAAGAAGTTATAAGATGATTCGCTCGACTCGACTGCATAGAAAGAGTGTTTTGACGGAGTGAACTGAATGAATATGAAATTCTGTTGTGCTACACGAAACGATTTCGTCAAATGAGTCTTGCCTGAAACTCACTTCCAACTGACTATCGAGCACACCAGGAACGTGTGTTCTGACTTGATTTGGGTGACTTTTAAGCTTAAATGCAATTGCATTTAGATAAGTTCATGAATGACTTGATGGATGATATATAACTGTGTTGTTGTTATTGTTGTTTGGTGAATAATTGTTTCACTTGACATTGTTCANTTCTAGTATGCTTGCATCTTATATAACTGAATGGGCATGTGAATTTTATGAGTTTTGCACGGTTTCATTTGATCACGTCTTGAAGTTTGGTTAAATTTGTTCAACTCTTCAGAGTATCACCGAACGTAAGACGCACACAATACTGTTGGGGCACATTGATGAATGCAGATGAGAACAATGTTGTGGGAAAGATGTACGATTGGTTCGTAGAGAACTCGAAATATTTCGAACGCGATGCGGATAACCTATTAGAAGGACAATCGTGCACACAGAATGCAGATAAATTCAATGAGTGAGTATTATATGGTATAAGTATTTGATGATGAATATTTCTTGATGAGCCTAAATGAATGTTCACTCGATGAAATTAGATGATAGCACGTTGGAAACGTCCAAAGGGACATTATTCACTGGCAAAGTTTAAAAATTCTATGTTGCAGCCTTATACAACGAACGTTGTCCGGTGAACTACCCGCAAAGACACTCGAATATCTTGGAAAACATGACGGGACGGGTCAACGTCTTTGGGAATACTTCAAAAAAAATACCGATGAGATCATTTTCGGTGTTCCAAGTGTTCTGGAATATATGAATGCTGCAATGGCTAAATGGAGCAGAAGCATAGACATAGATCTGGTAGAGTATTGTTCTAATGAGGATCGAATCTCTTTCTCAGAGAGAAATGTTGTGAGAATGCTTACTAAGAATGCGAAAACAAGCAAAATTTGCACCCTAATTGTTTCTGCTGATAACAGATTCATATCTCAGCTGGATGAAATCTGGTTGAACAATGACGAGTTAATTTATCGAATTAGCACCGAGCACGTATCAGATCACTTACAGATTTATAACCAGCAAATTCTGTTTCAGGTCAATCATTTCATGGAGGACTCAAGTTTGTTATCAGAGGACAATAAGGAAGAAATTTCTCAAGCCTTATCAAATCTTGAAAAGAGAATAGACTATATTACTGCTAACAAGCAATCCATTGTTGACTGGCTCGGATCAAACTTGCATCGTTTTTTTGAATAATCTGTGACAGTTAATCTGCCTTAAGTTGCGTGATAATTTTGATTGAAGTTTCACACAAAATTCATTTGCATTAATCATGCCTGTATTTCAGTGAACGTTCATTTTGATAAATAAACTTTTTTCTGGCTACTTGAAAATGTATCTGTTGACATTCAGAATTGCTTGCAGAGGATGTTACGTTCAGGAATATGCATCAAAAGATTTCAAGTGTAGTTGAGATCTGTAACAAAACTAGTGCGATTCTGAGCACATGCTTTACCGATAAATTTTACTGACAATGAGAGTGAATAATTCGTGAGCATAGAATTAGACTGATTGGTACACCAACTCAGAGCAGCTCACTGAGACAGCAAAACATTTCTGTAATTAATGAGCTTAGCTTTGGATAGAGAAAAGAACGCCTGGCAAGGTAATCGTGAATGCAAAGTTTTGATGAGATGGAACTGAAATTGAGAAAAAATTCATCTCATTTAAAAAACATTACATCGTTATCTCACAGTTTTTCCTAAAGTCCACACAGAAATCTGAAACGCTCTCTTGTGATGAATTGGCGATGGCGATATTGTGCTAATTCATTGCTTACGATTCAATTATAGGCGAGTTGAGTTGATAGTGTCGGAAAGCAAAGAAGAGATCACAATTGGGACACAGAATCCTTGGACAATTGCGAATGAGAGTAAGTCAGTGATGCGTTTGAAGTGAATGAGAAAAGTTGCGCAATAGAATGGAACTGTAATGCAATTGTTGATGTCAAGCATAAGAGTAATGAAACATTGGGCGAACTAGAAATGAAATTCACTGAATGACTATAACATGGAAGATACACATGTGAACATGTAAACAGGGCGCACCTTGTGAATACCTGCTTCTGAATGACGCTAATTCCTCTGTTCTCTATTCATTCATCATATTCTCTCCTCGATTTTTAAGCCCGATTCCCATGATGTCTCACCACTCTCAGAACTTATTTTGCCGATTGTGTTACGCTTCCATGATGTCTAGACACAATTCTCGTTCATTTCTAAGTATCATGCATTCGCTCTCATTCATATTCCCTCTCACATTTTCTACTCCCAACATTTCTCTACATNCGTTCATTTCTAAGTATCATGCATTCGCTCTCATTCATATTCCCTCTCACATTTTCTACTCCCAACATTTCTCTACATTGCATCTCTAATGCAATTGGGTTTTCACTGAAAATAATGTGTAAAATGATTTGCCACACTGCAACACAATTGCTGAGCTGCATAATGCTTGGAACTCACATAGTGATAAGATCAGTGTTTATATCACAGAGCTAAGTCATCACTTTATCGAATTCGACCTCACGCATGTGCTGAGTTCCAGATGAACAAGAAACATGCAACATCACACTTAACACGTCTCGTTTCGTCAAAAGCAAGGTTTTTGATGAAAGACACGCAAAAATATTTGTTATTTGTGCGAAGAACGCAGTTGGTGATGTTATGGATCAGCAGTACCTCAGACAAACGAGTTGAGTGAGCACTGTCACACAAACGAAGCAAAAAAGCAAACAAAAATATGAAACTCACGAGTTGTTTGCTGTTG